CGTGGTGTATTACAACTGGTTCTCAGAAGTCATATAAATTCATCTGCGGTACCCTGTTGTCTTGGTTCGAAGACTATCTTACTGACTGCATCCAAAGGGTCACCGTTCTCGGGATTAATTCTAAATCTCTCCCTGTGTTATCAGGTGTGCCGCAAGGATCAATACTTGGTCCACTCTTGCTCCTCATGCATATAAATGATTTTCCTGACGTGGCGTCCTCAATGTCTGTTGCTCTCTTGCTACCGGTCAATCGAAAGCAGGGGATGGTGCTTGCCTACAGCAAGACCTCGACCACATTAACCAATGGTGTCATCTCTGGCAAATGGAACTAAATCAATTCAAGCGCGGGCTACTTTCTATTACCACAAATGCTGGCTCGTTTCACTTCCCCTATCAATTACCCGATGTCCAAGTTAAGAGGATGGAAACTCAGAAGAACCTTGGGGTTTTAGTTACTAAACATCTGAAATGGAACTCCCACGTGTTGGCAGCTTGTTCGAAGGCCAATAGGATGCTTGGCTTTATCCGGAGATCAGCTTCTAACACTCATGACCAGCGAGCTCGCAAGTTACTTTACCTGTTACTAGTTCGTAGCAACCTCACATATTGCTCGCAGGTGTGGGCTAAGTTAGTTATAAGCAGAGGCTTTTGAAAATTGGGTTATTACCTGTATTGGCACGAATTTTTAGATTTGGTGCCTGTATTAAAATATTTAGTCAGTCTATCGGATCTTTTTATTTCAGTCATGGATTCCATTAGACCCATGGCGCACTGTCTCCTTCAAGGGTACGCCGGTTGAATACGGTTATGGCCAACTCCGCCTCCGTCTCCGTCTCACTATGTCTGTTTATGATGTGGCACTAGTCAGCCATTGAACAGCTTGCTCGATCGGATGTGTTGATTTTTTATCGATGTCCTCCCCAATTCTGTTTTTGCATTTCCGTTTTTTTTTTCCTGTCGTTTCTAAGGTATTATCATTCTTGTTAGTTTTATTAGTAATTTTCCTTTTTTTTTTTGGACCTCGTAGTGGAGCTTGCTCTGTGAGTGATCCAGGCCTCTTGGCGAAGTTTAGAAATAAATAAATGGGACGAACTGCTTACCACCAGCCCAGACCTCTCCGTTATTAGTATCTAGATTCATATCAATGAGATAAATATCCACTGAAATCACCAGAAACGCGTTTATTTCTACCCAATTCTGAGAAGCTTTTGCCTAATTTTTATCATCCTTCTGTTAGTACATTTGTACTGTTGAGAGACAGTTAACAGTGGGAGAGACATAGTGACACTACTGACAAAGGCATGGAAGTATCTCATAGTACCTGGCACGGGATAATACGACTTTTCGTGAGTGAGCCACTTCGTAGTTCTTTCCTTCACTATGGTTCCAAAGTTTCGGATGTAGTTCAAAGCACTAAATGTTTTGTGCTTAAAGTGAAAAGCCCCTTAGCTACGTTGTCAGGAGTGTTAAAAGCTCCACTTTGTCGCGCGAACAAAGGATTTGTAGAACTGATATTTTCTATCAGCTTGTTCATCCCGTTGCGTATACGTAACAAGGAGGAGACTAAGATATTGGGTTTTCTTTTGGATACAAAAAACTCATCGTGGTGGGGCTTTAAAAGTGTGCAAATGCCCCACCCCGGGACAATAACAAAATTGCATTTTGCGGTAAAAAGCTGCAAATGTCATACCAAAACGCTTGAAACACCCTTCCCAGATCGCTCCTAGCCGCTTGTTATAATTATTGCAAAAAAGATCACATCGATGTGATGAATATCAATGACAGAACTATAAACTAGAATTTTGATACCTTTCTTCTTATCAATTGAACATATGCAAAATAATAAATGATAAACAAACAACCGACGAGCTTTCACATGAGTATTTTCTCAAGTTATGATGGAACCGTTCCGTAATTGTCGTATTGATCACACAAAACACAAAGTTTATATTAGCTTTCTAATTTCTCACAGAGTATTTCTAGGGCTTTCTGTCTCAATCATTCGCTCACAAAGAAAGAGTCTTTTCCTTTAAATCCTTCAAACAACGCATTGGTTGTTTTTCCTCCTTGTGCGAACTAAAGCAGTTTTTTAGACGGATGCAAAAACTACTTTGGGGAAGGGTGGTGATAGAAAGAAAATCACACTTATCTTTTTAAAGCATATGTATTAAAAATATTCTTTATAGAACTATATATGCCTATCTAAATGGGCATTTTTAAGTTAAATACGTAAAAAGGAGCGATGTTAACCGCATCAAGAAGAATCAAGATGACAAATGCCTTGAGGGAATTGACTGAGCTACTAGCTACTGACCTTTGTACCTCAAAACAGACTTTGTCGACGTTCCTTCTTGCGTCCCTCAATAGGGACCTTTAGATCCGACGACGGCGACGGCAACGGGAACGCCAAAAAAGGAATAGGTTTAATTAGCAAAACAACAATTTTGCACTTGCATCATGCCGTCACTGCACGACTACGACGTGAAAATGCCTAAATTCACGATGTACAGAGGAAGTACAGGAGCAACGACGAAATTTCCTCTCTCTTTCTGAAGTTGGATATGATTCTTAGGAATTCAACTTCAGGAGGGTTCACCTACATTTGACAAAGTTAGTGACTTGGAGTTATCGCGATGAAGATTGAAAGAACGCGAATTCACATTTTCTCTGCCGTCGCCGTCCTCGGATCTTAAGGTCCCTAATGTTACCTTTTCGCAAGCGTTCCTTTTTCGTTTATTTCAAAAAGTGTCCCAAAGACATCCAAAGGTTTTTAAAAGAAATGAAACTGTTTCAGAAAGACCGGTTAAATAAAAGCTTAATAGTTACAAACGCAGCTTCAGTTGCCATATCTAATGATAACTCATATAACAGTCACTATTTTTCTTTTTCTGTATTGCCCCTTATGATAATAATTTAAAGCTATTTAAATTTTTCTCCTTTTCTAATTAGCTTCAATCCCCCAGCTAATTTTTTCACTACGCGTAACGGATAAAAAAAACTGAATTACAGGCACTTACTGAGTCTGCACTGGCCGACCAAACCAGTCCAGTCAGGGACACAAAATATTTTTTTTTAGTAGAGAGAATTTCACCATTAATCAGAATTGTGCAGACAGATCAGTCTATTCTTATTAGTATGCACGGGAGTTACATTTTCTTTAGCGGAAACTCGCAAAATAGAGCTTATTCTATTTGCAAAATATATATATCAAAATTCTATCTACTGTACATCTACACAACAGAACCATTGCTAACTACTATTTAGCGATTATTGCTTCTTTTGTTAATATCTTCCCTAAAAATTATGTCTTGGCAACGATACATAAAAATATGAAATATATATAAAAAAGTACGATAAGTATAAATCTTTGAAAGCATATAAAAACCTAGCTTTACATTTTCAATCAAATGCAGCCTTCAGCTTATTTTTTCACTATCCTTGAAGGGTCTGTGTCACGATCATGTTCATGTGCAGGTATAATTGACACAAGAAACTGGGTGCACGAGACATGACATGACATGCACGTGTAATAGCGACGACCCTAAGTTGATTCACTAACTTTTTTTCCACACGGATGGCGGTACCTTTGCTAAATTTTATCTCACTGTTGGGAGTCCCATTTCGTCAAGTTCTGCTACGTGTGGACAGGAACTTCCGCTCACTTGCGCAAGTTCGGGGAAAATTATTGGCGGCAGAGACGGCAGCGAGAGCGCGAGAGGACGCTGGCGGCTCCGCTGCCAAAACTTTACCCCGAACTTTTAGGTATCGTTCAGGCTGTGTGTTCACCTTTCCTCGAAGACATCAAGTTTCTATGCAGCCTTCATACACAAACAAATGTTCTGTGATAGCCGTTCACAGATGACGTACAACTATCTAGCTCTATCTGTATGCCGTAATACTGCTGTAAGAGTTTTAAAAAAATCGATGAAAATAGATATTTCCCATCATCGACGACAACTTTGAAATTGTCCAGTTGGATCAAAAATCAAAACGCCGGACATGCGCAGAAGACTAAAACCGGCTATTAAATACATGAATATGCATCCTTTGCCTCACTAGCAACAACGTCTTTAACATATGCGGTAAATTCTTCTACTTTTCTCCAAAAATAAATTCAATGTTATAATAATTTCAATTTCACGAACAGACTGTCTAAGTTGGAATAAGCAGACTGACTTACTTGCTTTAAAGGAAACTTCAGGAATTGATCGACCAAATTCTAATGGCTAACAAGGAAGATCCAAATTGATTTTATTCAAACCTATTTTTAACCTAACTGCCTAAGAGCTGACCAAAGCGATGTGTACTACCAATCGCCAAAAAAGGCTGCTAAGCCCATAATGTGCGGCCCAAGAATTGCCATAGCTATAGTATGCTCTACTGAGCCTAACACCCTGTGTGCAAAGCCTCCTTTTGTTTTCTTCAGTGAAGAGATGAAAAGGAGGCTCTGCCTGAATCTCATCAAACCTTTGAAGTCACCGCAGCCCAAACTTCTGGACTAGTCAATCTTGTTCTCTCTCGTTAAACTGTTTTTCTCGAGTGCGAACAGCGATTTAATGATAAACCGACGGTCATAAACGATCACGCTGTAGCAAGTACTCGGTTGTTAGGCATGGGTTCGAAACCATATCCTAGCAACATGCCGCGCATGCTCAACAAACACCTTACTCCATTCATGGAGAATAATTCTGGATCCGAGCAAGCAAAAGAAAGGCTCTGTTGACAGGGTGTACGCCTAATAGCGCGCATGAGCAACGAGAACGCTGACGTCCCGGACGTAATAAATAGCAACCGGAAGTTCGATGTCTCGTTTGATGGAACACTTCTGTCTCACGCAGCGAATCTGAATGTCTTGTTTTGACTCACGCTGTACGAATTGGCCGAGTCTGCGCACTAAAAGAGAGAAAATATCAACTTCCGGTTGTGTCCGGTCCGTCAATCTCATTGCTTTAGGTCCCTAATAATGAATGAGACCCGTGAATTCTTACACAGGATTTTTTTTACAGTAAGTCTGCGGATCCCGCAAGCTCACATTCCACTAAAATGTCATACACTTCTCCAACATTTAAATGACGAGAATGTGCCACAAGATCAAGAACAACGTTGCAAGGGTTTGAGGTTCTTTTGTCGAGGAAGCGGATTTCGTCGTAAGACATGCCAAGCTTCTCTGCAAGTAGTTTCCATTCGTCTCCACCTGAAGCGAAATTAATTGCGTCAACTGAAATCGAATGCTCTAATATAACACTTTAATATAAACGTTTGACGCCAAGACCCTCCAAATCGCCAAAACCCGTCGTTCTCTCTCACAATAACCAATATTTTGACTTTTTTTCAAAGTATTTAGTAAAACAGTGGATAGTGTTTTTCGCGCGCTCTGATTGGCTACTCAATCAGTGAACATCCTGCACTATCCACTGATCCACCTCCAGTTCCTCCGAGCGAGCGACGCCAAACTCGCGCAAGTTGCGAGCAAAATGCCTTCCCGGTTTTCTGCTGTAACAAACAAAGAAATTTCACAACTAATCAAGCAAGCTGTTCCCGAAATACACGAAGAAGGTGACGAAGTTCGGTTTGGAAGTTTTAACAGGCAAAGCTTTGTCTTTTTGACTTGAGTTTATCAATAAAACCGGTGAAAAAGTTTGTTTACAAATCAAATTAAGATTAAGTCTTGCGTTACTTTATTCAGTTGACTTGTTCATCAATAAGCTTAAAACTAAATTTAATAGTCTTTTTCACCGAATGATTTTAAATACAAAAAGAATTCACAACTCCTTTTGAAGAAATTTCCCCGCAAGAGCTAAACAAATGCCTTCAAAAGTTTATTTGTCGGCAAGAAAAAGCGACGACCGCGGCCGTTCGGTCATCGCGCGCCAAAATTGTAATCGTTTGCAACAGTAAATGAGTTAAAAATCATTTTTGCGCTCAATTATCCTACTGTTTTAGTATATACTAAAACAGTTATTCACCTCAGTGTCGGTGGTTAGTGGTAATTATTTTCCTCGCCGCTTCGCGGCCTCGGTAATCTCCCTATTACCCACCTCCACTTCCGTGAATAATTGTTATATATTTATCGCAATATTTTACGATATTGCAAACCATTAATATTTCCATACACCTCTCAATTACGAAACATCAATTACGAAACCTGTATGCCCCAACCCCCCCCCCCCCCCAACCCCTTGTAGGAAACTTAGGCAACAAGTACGTCGAAAATCGCTTTTCAAGAGGCCACGATACTCTTGTCCACGCGTCCACGCGCAACTGTCCCCAATATACTGAAAAAAGCAGGTAACAAACACAAAGCTGATTCGTATGTTATTTTACTTACCGCCGAGATTGATTGTCAAGTCCTTTCTCTGCTTAAATGGGATACACCGAACATCAAGGTTTTCAGCCAACAACGGGCCTGGTGTATTGAACAGAAACACACATTTTACTATTAGGTTGAAATAATAAGTGAAGCGTTTTATATTAAGCCCAAACCAGCAAACATTTTATTTTAGTCAATCGGCGGGAATGTTAATTTTACCAGGGGAGGGGAGTGAGGGGGGAACATGAAGTTAAAAAAAAATGAACTTTATTTGAGTGTCAATGTATTTAGCACGAAAGTACTAATTGGGGACACTATTTTAACACCTCCTACTAGAGCCGAGACCGACATTTTACGTGGTAATCCGAGTCACGCGAAGGTCTAGCCGCTTGCAGTGCAAAGGGAGTACCTTCATTTCTCGGTTATTTTAAGACCCTGAGTATTGTTCCAGCCCCCGGAATCGAACCCGCGACCTCCCGCTCTGAGGTCACACGCACTCTACCGACTGAGCTAACACTGCCCCGGTAAAAGCAAAAAAAACAAGACCAGACAGATAATTGTGGGGGGTAATCTAGGTGTATAATAAGCAATATGAAAATGGTGAACTTTTATTTTTACTGCCAACTCACCGGTAGTTCCAGCGGGGGCAATGGACCTCAAGTAGGTAACTATGTCCATCCTGTTTTCATTTTTAGCGTTGATTGCAAGGCAACGAATCCACTGTTTGGTCTCCGGCGCTAGATCAACCAGTACTGTTGACTTCAACTGTAGATTTTCCACACTTTCTTGCATTTGAGCCACAACATCCACTGCCTCACACGATCGAGAACGAATGGCCTTTAGAACACCACCAGGCAGAACAAGTGATTGCTCTTTGGTTTGGAAAAAAGAACAGAGAGGATTAATTACAGGGATACTGTGAGCACTGAAGAGGGCATCAATAGGCCCTTTCCGATTTGTTCCAAGCCTCTGTTTCAAAGCGAGGGTAATTGCAAAGCCATAGATATGAAAATGATTTTTTATTCTCATGCAAATATAAAACTCATTTTCACAGCTAAGCCTCGTTTTGAAAGTGACAGTTATTGGAACTCGGAATCTGCTTTTTAGCGAAGATTGTTCCTTTATTTACTGAGGCACAACGTCACGAGCAAAATCACGAGCATTACATACACTGGAAAGTGTACCACAACAAGAAACAGGAACCAAATCACAATATCTTCACACAGTAAATGTTGCAAGGATATGTAAAAATATAGCAATTATGCCTCTTTGTTCGCTTGCTTCTTATACCCTTAAAGACAATCTTAAGCTAAATTTCGGGTCATCAGTCAAGCTTTGTTTGCAAGAGCGCTTAAAGAAATAAAGGTAAGGGACAACGAAGTATTTGGATAAAATTTTGGCCACGCAAGATAGCCGGTTTATTGATTAAATATAACATCTTCAAACAAATTAATTAGCTCAGATTATTTGATTTTTTACGCTCTGGCAAAGTTGACGGCACGAGATAAAGGCACAGTAAATAAAGTATCATTAAGAAAGAGGCGATGAAAGGGAGAAGGAGGGTCAAATTCACAAAGCGTGTTATGTCTGGAGACCAAAAGGAAGATTTCGAGGAACACAGCTTGTCCTGTACTCTAACCTTAAATGAAGTCGAGGCTAAGTACTTTTCCGGACGAGCTCGTCACTAGTAGTTTTACAGCTAGTAATATTCCGGCAAGTAAATTCCCAGCTAGTAATTTTCCGATTTATCTCGTGACAGTCTTGTGATTAATACCTGACTATTTTGTGTCAAATTTGAACCCCGCTCACAGCCCGTCTCTGGCGATCACCTATGTTGAAGCTGAATGCGTGACTAGGAGTCAGAGGCCTCTTCGCAAACTAACTCGTACCCAGATTTCTTATTGAGGAAGAGATCTGGGTATGAGATTAAGGCAAGCGTTCACATTTAAACTGAGTTATATTTTACATTCCTCGAGTTGAATCAGATAAATCTCTTATTGGACGGTTTAGTGTGTCGTATCGTGTGTAGTATCGGATATTTTTACTCTTATCTCGTTAAAATATCCCACGATACTACACACTAAACCGTCCAATAAGATATATGTATTTATAATGTATGAATTGAGTTCGCTACGGCAGTAGCAAAGTCTTGCTACTGACAAGTAGCACGGCAAAGCTCAGTACTAGGTAGTAGCACGACTTTGATTCAAAAGTTGTGCCACTGTCTTGCTTAAGTCGAATTTTTTTCCCAACAACTGAGTTCGGCACGGCAGTAAAACGACGTTTGAAACATCGTTGCGAGCGTAAACAGCAATCAAGGTGATTCTGTTACTGCTTTGTGACGTAGAATGCGTGAACCCCACGATTTACAAAAAAATTCGGGCTGAAATATAATTTATTTTGGTTTGAAAAGGCGCGACGTTAAATACAACGACATTTTATTTTGTTTCTACCGAAAAAGGTAACCTTGTTTAGAGGGAAGGGATAGTAACGAGCTCGAGGAGAGGAGAGGATTGTAGTCACCCTTCTTTCAAAACTGTTGTGCTGTCCCTGTGCAAACGGGAAACGGTGATCCATGGCAAAACTGAAAATAATCAGTGATACTAGTAATTAGTGGTATTATAAGAAAAAGTAAAAAAAAAAAGAGGTACCTCTCGTAGAGACTGCAAAGTTTTTTCCACTCTGGTTGCGTCCAGTTACATCTACCCTCTGTGAAGAAATAACTAAGGATTTAACGGTTGCTCCAATTTTGAGCAGACTGTTTTTTCAAGAATTAAGCAGAAATTTGAGTGTTTATGTCGATATTTTCTAAGTACACCTGAATGCTATTGCTTTTTTATCTTGCTTTTTATAAAACGAGTTGCAGTTTGCGCAATTTTGCAAGCGCAAGAATGTAACTGTCGAAAAGAAGTTACGGACAGTTTTTTGGCACTGACGGGATTATAATGGTTCAATAACCCTAGTGAGGGATTACAATTTGGATGAATGACTTGTTCAGAATATACAAGAACAAACCTGAGTAAGAGTAACCCTGCTTTCTTGCACATCTGAGAATGCAAACCAATGTACGAACATCTCTTTGTGAATCCTGCAATCTGCACAAACAACATGCCTGTCGCAATAGCGATAGTCTTGCAACTCAAGTTCTGACAACAGGTGCAAACAATCGCAACCTCGCACACCATGATCACGGCATTTGGAGCCTCCCCTTTGAGAACACACAGGACAAGAGACACACGTTTCGTATTTCATGTGCTTTAACCAGGAAAACTCCTTGCGCATGCATTCAAGAAGTAACCTCAATTGTCGGTGAATATCACGGCTCAGACGGCTGGCATCTAGATCACTTACATAGCCAAGCTTAAGGTCTGAAACTTCATCGAGGGCCACACCCATGACGTGCAAAACGATCTCGATAGAGGAGGAATGGCACAATAAAGTGACAGAAGTGGCATCATGAGGTCGGATGTGAAACAAGGCAAAGTTATTGAAGAGTTTAGGTTTGACTGGTCTGCCCCACTTATCTTGGGCCCAGTGGTGAAAAAGCAAAATAAGTCTCGAAAACAGGCCTGGGGGCACTCTGCAAGATTCAAACCTCACAAAAAGAGAAGGAATTCGTACAGAGGCAAGGAGCTCAAGAACATCAGCTGTTGGAGGAGACTTTAACATGGATGGCACAAGGTACTGCTTGGTGGTACAATCCGATGGCCATGGACAAAGCAAGCTAAATCTCTCCATTATTGCAACGAGACTTTTGCAGGTTTCTTGGTTAACAAACAAGTGTCTCCATGCACTATCTAAAAGCTTTTCATCCAAGATTCCATTCTTCTCCAAATTACGCCATAGATCTTCAACGCTTTCTTCCACCAACTCCCAACTTCTGACAGTGATTACCTCCTTAAACATGTCTATGAGCCATTGCGGGCTCAAAATGACCATGTTTCGTAATTCTTGTGATTCGTTAAAATGAATCAAAACTCTCTGATCGTGCAAAAAGTTTAATAGTGTTTGAAACTGATCATCGTCGTTAATTCCACACTCATCTAAGGCAATGTGTCTTGCTTTCTCAATGGGTATCCACTTATAGCCTTCCTCGCTTAACAGACGGAGAACCTTTTCATACTTTAACCACTTCAAAGGAATGGCTTCGTTCATCTGTGGAAGATTCTTTGCTACAAAATGTACTTTTTCCCTTAGTTTTTTTACGCCTTGACACTCATCGGCACTTCCTGACTTCGTGTTATCTACAACAAAAAAGCCTTTAAGAAGTTTTCCATAAATCTTGTCTTTCAGAGAACCATAAGTTTCCCTGGCAAGAACTTCAGGGTCCCCACTGCAGTAGGGCGTGTCAGCATGCGTACACACCAAGAACACTGGAGGTAACTTTTCAGAGCGAAGATCCTTCTGACTGACAGCATCCGGACTAACCAAAGAATAAACTGATGACATCCAAAAATCAAGATTGTCGAGATTGGTTTTGCTACAGCTTGTGTCTTTTATATTCCTCGACATTCCTTTCTTCATTGGAACGCTATCTTTCTGGTGTGGATCACGACTTAGGTCGGAAACCAAAATGTAGATGGCTTTTTCTGTCAAGAAAATTGGGTGGGTGGCGTAGTAGACAGACTGTCCTCCAAAATCCCACAGGATGGAATAGATGTCATTTTGATCTTCAGCCTCTTTATTATTTTCAAGCAACTTCTGAACCAATGACGCTAAGTCTTCAGGTAGATTTGGCACAACCAGATGATCTTTAGAGTCTTGAAGTGATGGCTCAATCCCACTTGTGCTGGATTTCTGTGATCCATAATTGGCTTTGGGTTTCTCTAGAACTTTGGGATCTTGAAACGCTGGTTTGATACGAGAAGCGTTAGGTTCTTCTGAAAGCTCTGAAACTGATGAATTGGCCTTGGCTTTCCCAAATACTTTTGATTCTTGAAGTGATGACTCTGTCCTGCTACCACTTGGTTCTTTACACCGTTCTGCTACGTTCATCAAATCGATCTGTGACTCCGAACCGCTAATGTTTGGTTTCTCTGCAAGTTCTTTAGCTTCAGAGTAGTCTGTACTTCTATTCCTTAAGCTGTCAAATATCATCTGGGCTGCCTGGTGCTCAAACGAAAACGTCTGTTCTAGTTTGGTACCTTTGCTTTTCACTCCCGTCCTCCAAACGTCTGTCGAGACCTTAAAATAAGACGGATCCGTCTCTATTCCTACTGTGCTTTTTTCATTTGGATTGAAAGTCTCCCCTTTTAGAGACTTCTTCAGACTGGTCTTCCCTGTCCGATCTTGTCCAATTATCATGACAGGCACTCTTCTTACATAGGTTTTTCCTTCTAAAAGGGCTCTGTTGTAGGCTTTAGTGGCCAGGATGCCACGGGCAACAATCTCCGACGGAACTGATGGTATAAAACAAATACAATAACTAATGAAATATATCCAGCCACGTTCCTGATATAATTCTAATACTTTGAAAGCGGATCTTTTCACTTTTCCCATATTTTAAAAAGTCACTACTTTAAAGTGACTCGTATCGGGCGACTTGAACCGTGAGTTTGCCAAACATTCCTTTTCACAGTATTCAACGATACAGGTGATCATTTTAGGACGTTTCTTAAACGTATTTATTTGCTCAGTCAAAGGACTTTCTGAATCGGTGAGTACCTATGTTATCGTTTTACGTCTCTGTCATGTAAAGTACATCCGTTTCCTTGATTGCAACAATGTGTGCGCGAAGGGAACAGTGCAGAAGAATAGGCCAATTTATGATATACTGAAATTCATACTTGATTCCAAGGCTTGGGGGAATCAAGCAGCAGAAATGCATTATTTATGCCTAAAGCTGCAAGTGCTTCTTATTTTTTGCCTTATTTCATTCCTCCAAGCGTCGGCGCCAAATACGAATTTAATTTATTGAAATTGGTCTATTAATTAATACATAATAAAAAAAGGCAAATGAGAGGCTTTACTCTCTCAAACTCAAAGTTCTCAAGCAGTGTGGCGCTCCACCAGTTTCTCTAGCTAAGGTATTTGTAACTATTGTTCGCCAAATGTTAGAATACGCTGTCCCTGTACGGCAAAACATACCTCAATTTCAGGCTCCTAACATCGAGAGCATTCAAATAAGGGCTATGCGTATCATTTTTCCTACGTACGATTACAATGAGGCTTCAACTGCACTTTCTCTCACGACGTTAAATGAGAGACGAGTCCACCTGTGTCAAGTCTACGTTGCAAGATTACAGAACGAAAATCACTCGTTACACTTTACTCTCCCTAAACTGGAGGAAGCTCAGCATAACTACCATGAGGTCAGGAGCTAGCTACCGCTTGCACCCAATTTGTAAGACCAAGCGCACTTTATCACTTTTAAGTATTAGTTGTTGTTAGTTGGTAATCTTTTAAGTAGCTTTGCGATTTATTATCTACATTTGTACATATTGTTATACGATTGTAAGTAGCTATGTAATTCAGCCTTATATGTGCGATGTATTGCTGCAATGAGTTTCTTCAATAAACAGTCACAACAGTCACATTATAAGTGAAAAAATGTGCTCTAATTTGCGAAAGACAACTTTCTACTGACCTGTACTGGGTGACCTAAATATAAGAGCCTATGTACTATGGTGGCAAACAAATCAGTCCCTCCAAAAATAAGCCCCTCAAAAAGGGCCTTTGAAAAATATAAGCCGCAGGGGCTTATTTTTGGGGGGGTTATATTCGGAGTGGCTTATCTACCGAGGGAAATTTGCGTTTCAAAATCCATTGAGCTAGCCTTATAGATGGAAGCAAATTTACCGTTTTTGCTTTGTTTTACTTTGTATTTGAGGACAATTTTTATTATTATCTTCGTAATCTTACGGTATTTTGCTCCAAAACAAGTCAAGTTTATCATCTTTAGTAAGTGTAATCATAAATTCGCGATAAAAGGTTGTGAATCTTACATATACACTATCCAAGATGGTAACCACGACCTCAAAACCGTGATCCAGTTACCTTACGACGCTTTATGAAAGATGGTGAATGGAATATTGAGAGCTGTTGGTCGCGCGACTCAGCGACGCGCGACACCCACGCGTGTGTATGAGAAAAAAAAGACACATGAATGAAAAAGTCCCGTTTGTCTCCTTTTGTCCCGATAATCCTTGCTTTGTCCTTAGTGCCCTTAAAATGTCCCGTTCGTCCTGTTTTAGGTCCTGATTGACCCTGAAATTTACCTTTTTATAAGGTTAAATGTTTTTGAAACGGTTTTATTTCTGCCAAGGCCTCGTACCGTTATCATGGTTAAGCGTGTCTGTCGCGATTGCCCAATCCCCAATTGTGAAGCAAAATATCTCGTAAAACTGTCCAATCATCTTACAGATGTACATCAATTAGATTATAGCCAGCTAAGAAAGTGGCTACAAGAAGCGAAATTACAACCTAAAGTACACTGTAAGAGTGGTGATCTATCAAAAGCGACATCAAAGCCACAAGAGGTAAAACATGCAATCGTTTATCAGTTATCAACATCAAGGAAAGGAAAGACATCGGTAAAAATGCTACGAAAAGGCATTAAAAAAGCACGCAAGCGAATCAAACGTTGCAAAAGAACAGCATAGTATTTTCAGGACTTCATGTAATTGGTCGATGATGGATCGAACACAAAAGAGAACTCTAAGTAACCCAGCCTTTACTAATACTCGTTAAAAGGGGCACGCTACTTGCACCCGGCTAGTTCACACATGTCCAATATACACAAACGTATACTATTCGTCAAAACAATGGTCCATTGGTACCAATGGTAGGATCGGTACCAATAGAAAAGGATGTCATTCCAATGGTTCTGTCGGTGAATAAGCATCTCATTAAGGGAACTTAGATTATTTTCCCATGTAACCAGGCTGGGTACAGGGCAATTCCGATGGTACATTGGTACCAATGGTACGATTGGTACTAACAGAAAATGATGTCATTCCAATGGTGTTATTGGTGCATACGAAGTTCGCTTTTACACCAAGTAAAAACGCGCTGATAATTATTATAAATATTTCTCGTTCTATAAGCCAACCACACAAAACAATTTTGCTTTCACACCAAGTAAAAACGCGCTATAATTATTATGAATATTCCTCGTTCTATAAGCCACCCACGCAAAGCAATTTCGTTTTCACACAAAGTAGAAACGCGCTAATAGTTACAAAGCGAGGTCGAACTAGCGCTAATAGTAGTTGCTAACAGTTATAATATAGCGAGGTCGAAATACAAACATGCCATCTGTATTTTTCGTTCTTGAAGCCATCTTTGAAAACAAGTTCGCTTTTACACTAATGGAAACGCGGTAACACATGTAGTTATAATAAAAATATGCGTAGCTGGAGCGAACAACAAACATTTATAAAGCGAGGACAAAATTGGTGTAGCCGGGGAAGCAACCAGCATAACATGAGTATTTCGTAATGAAAGTCAACCACCTGATCCACGCGCAACAATTTCCCTTGCTCAAAAAAATAATATCTCAAGGTTCTACGAGTAACAAACATCGTACGAAAATATATTGAAAGGTAACGTGTCACTGACGTGTTACGGTCCTCTTAAAGGCCAACGAGATAATTGTGATTCACGAGCAAACAACAAAATGACATATGAATGTCTTCTTTCTTATACGCAAGCACTATTTGTTGGTAATTCTTACTTGTTTAAAAAAAACCCGAAACAACGCGGAAAGGCGCGAAACCAACAAAGTGGTATTAAGGCCACAGGTTTTGACAACTGTACTCAACTCACTGTGAAAATTAACTTCTGAAACTACACGCTCGCGGGAGCTGAGGAGAGAGAAGGCGCACTTTCCCCTTCCCCACGCCTTATTTTCCTTTGAACTTCTTTTCTCGACGTCCCTACTATCCGAGGGCTTGACACGGGCTACGCGACAAATCGCGAGAAAAACTGCGGTAAAAAGAACTTCCCATACCTCTGAAAATTTGGCCAACTACGTAAGAAATTCCTATAGTATGTTAGAAATACGTTTATCGCAACACCTGGCGCAGCTGTAAAGAGCCAGCCTTATGAATAAAGGGAAACAAGCCAATAGGTAACAAAAATGGTTAAAACAACAACAAAATCAAAAAGGCCACAAAAAGCTGGAAAGGGGAAAATGCCCTGGCCGAGAGTCGAACCTGGACCACCTGCATGCAAGGTCGCAATTCGTCTACCGCTCGACGTCGCCAATTAAATTTCGACAAAATTATGAACCTTCGCTGCGCGAGGAAATTAATGAGCATCAGCCCTTGATACTTTTGCTAATATGCCTGAGAGCCAATTTTTAATGCAATATTATAGTTACCTTCTGCCTTTGAACAGGACTCAGGATGCTGTGAAGTAACCTATTAAATTAGAATATATTTTACCCATCAGCCAGAAGAAAAGCATAACCAATACGTTCTTGAGTGATGTCACTTTTTGGACTGTACGCAGAATTTTAGACAGCCCTAGTGCCCATACTTAAGAATAAATTTCAATTCGCGAGCAAATTAATTAATAGTAATCTTCATTTGAATGGTTGTGATAATGAGGATTCAACCCATTCGCTCCGGTAAATTTTGCCCAAAATCGCCTTTTGAAGCTACAATCATGGACAAAAGTCTTGGGACACTTTTGCGTTTCTGGGGCGTTTTCCAATTCACACAAGTCCAACCCCTCCCCTCACCCCAGAAACAATGTTGGACGCGTGTATCCAGAATTTTTTCCGAGTTTCAACTTTGTATAGGGTAAGGGGGAGCGAGAACGGCAAGAAAATTTCGAAAAGGATGCACTGTTTTAAGAGGGAACCGAGAAATGACAGAAAAATATGAATATTGCAGTACCGTCCCAAGGGCTTTTGTCCAGAATTGTAGTTGAGCTGTTTTCTGGTCAAAAAAGATTTTCAATGGAATTTTTCCTTTTTCTCCGGCCTCCTTGACTGAATTGTACTCATTCTTCTATGGTCTGAAAGACCTCTTCCCCCTTATAGATGACTTGGTTGTCCTTGACCGTTCAAAACTGACGATGCCACAAGCAGTAGAAGGGACGTGGATCCGCGAGGGCGGTTGCGGTCGGTTCAGGGGCGAACGGGATAGGGGCAAATGAGAAATGGGCCATTTGATTTAAACTTTGCTTGCTCACCTCTTTGGACAAAAATGAGCTATAACCAGAAACAGCACTCCAGAGGTCACTAAAGGTACAAAAACAAATGTTACAGTAAAACACCTTGTTTTAAGTTGCCCACCTTGATATTTTATTTCTTAAAAATTCCACCCGTAAGAGAAGAGAGGCTTGAAGGGCCTGTTTACATGCAGATAGGGGACCCCAGGTTCGTTTAGGTGAGGTAACCGGCTTAGGTGGGGTAAAAAATTAACCTTCGTTTACATGCAATCATGAAGCCC